GAGGCCATCCTCGGGATGGGAACGAGGCCCAGGGTGGGTGCTGGGTCCACAGGAGTTCAGACCCCTCCAAAACAATCTGAAAATGGAAAGAAGCAAAACCAGGCCCCCTTACTGTCACCCCAGCCAAGTGTGGCCAGAGAGGGCCCTGGGCGCCCACTCTCTGCCTGCAGGCTGCTCACTCACTTCCTGCTCAAAAAGAATTCACGTCCTCTTTGACACCAAGCACGTACTTTACCGTGAACAGCCTCCTCGTGGTGGGGCCCCAGGTAAATCTTCAAACGGCTCCGCTGAGAGAAGACTGTCAGCTTAATGGGCTGAAGGGCTCCGCCATGAAGAAGCCAGTGGTCACTGGAGAAATCCCCATCCTTCCCCCTCCAGCAGAGGTGACCCGGGCAGACCTATGGCGGAGGGAGGCGGGTCCCTGGCGATGGATGCCACACGCGGTGCGGCCCAGGCGGGCAAGATGTGCTGGCAGTCGGAAAGGATGCTGGGCAGGGGGCTTCTGTGGCCTCGAGAGAGTCCAGCGAAGGGGTACAGCAGCCACCGTCTGCTTTCCGCCAGCCTCGTGAGCAGGGCTGTGTTGACCAGGCTGGGCAGCTGCCCCCCCAGAGTGGACAGCCTGGGGTCAGAGGGGCCACGCCAGACCATCGCCCCATCCCTCGCTCAGTTGTGGGACAGCTGTGACCAGAGAGACCCCACACACAGCCTGGGGCTGTGTCTGTTCAGAAATTGGCGGTGGACAAACCGAACCCCTGCCTTGAGAGCCCTCCCACCACCAGAGCCCCTAGACTCACTCCTGCAGGAAAACCACACACAGCGCTCCCATCAGCCCTCCCTGGAGGGGACTCTCAGCACGCACACCGCCATCGGTGTCCTCGCAGGAGAGGAAGGGCCTACTCCCTGCCTCCGATCACCTTCCTCGGGACCCGTGGCAGCCAGGAGGGGCCGTGGTCAGCACTCCCGTGTGACAGGCGCAGAAACTAAGGCACAGACGTTAGGAAACTGGCCCAATACCGTCCGCTAATCAGTAACAAAGCACAAAAACCCAGTGTGCTTCCCCAGCAACCGTGTTGGAGTGTGCCCGTGCCTAGTCCTTGTGTGTGCCCACGGGTTCTGGCTGGCGTGCCCCGCAAGGACAGCTGCTGGGGTTACTTGGGACTGTCCTGTGGTGGCACTCAGCGGTGCCTGTGCACCAGGGAGAGCAAGCTGGAAGACAGAGGAAGGGGGCTGCGGGTCCCAGAGCGTGCGAGGGCCAGGTCAGCTCCTGAGAGACCTCGCCGGGGCCGGATCCCGGGGAGGAGCCGGGCGGCTACGCCACAATAGCCACTCTTGGACTGCTGTCGACAACATGCTTCTGGAAAGTGTTGCTGGCGAGTCAAACTCTCCTAGAAGGTGAGCTGTTACAGAAATATATTCACATATCAAGAGTTTGAAAAGGTTGCTTTTAATGCTTATTGGTACCTCCGCGTTAAAAAGTAACTACAATCGTCTCATTAAAGTTTCCACGTTAAATGCACAACTTTACCTCGTTATAAGGAATTGTTACAAAAATGCCGATACCGGTATCCGAGACATACATTCCATCACACGGGCTGCGGATGGGAGTGTCGTGGTCCCACACACGGAGCCGTCCTCCCACACTGAGCGCCACCCCGAACGGCCTGGAAACCGAGGCGCACCTCCAGCCCAAACGTGCACCTCCAGCCTCCGCCCCTCCCTTGGTGTCACACGGGTGTCACGGGAACAGCCAGCCGCACACACCTGCCCAAAGAGGACAAGTCACGGGGTCAAGCGGTTTGGACCCCCCCCCGCCCCCACTACGGAAAGCCAACGTTGTCGCGACAGGCCGCACGTTATTTATGCCACACAGAAGAGGCACCGTACAGGCGACGAGCTTCCAAAGACAGTCTCTCAGGCATCTGACGACCCCGGGGTAATTTAGCACGTGCTGAGCGCGTCTCGGCAAGCAATCCGCTCTTCACCGAACTGCTCCCACACGACGGGAACGTCTCCGCGGCCGGGGGCGCTTCAGATTAGGGGGTCCCGTGCCCAGTCCTCCTGGGGCTCGTCCTGAGGGCAGCAATCCCAGTCGTGGGAGAAGCTGTGCCAGGGGCTCCTTTGGTCCCCGTCGTGACGGCGTCACACTCACCTGCGTTGGCTCCTGTCACCTAGGGGCCCGGTGCGCCTCTCAGGCCTGAGCATTTACGTCGTCGACAGTGTTCTTTCTCTCCCGTCGACCGGCCCAGATGGAGATGACAGCCCTCCCCTCCCTAGGCTCTCCCCCACTCCACGCCTCTGGACAAGGTCAGCGCAACTCCGTTCAGCGTAACAGGCAGGGGGCACGAGTGTGCGGTGGTCGTGAACGCACCGGCCCACTGGGCTCCTCGCAGGGCCCCCGGGCAGGGAGAGGAGTGGGCACGGCCAGGGCTGAGGTAGAGGGCGGGCGGTCACGGGGACCCCACTCCTGGAGAGGGTTCGGCAGGCGACCTGAGCGGTCTGGTCCAGCCTCGACCAGCCTGGGGACTGGGGTTGACCGAGTGCGGGCAGCAAACTGCAAACGGAACTCGTGTTCTAGTCCATCATTCTGCGAGACACCACTACAAATCACAGAGAGCTAAAAACTCCTAGGTGTAGGCACTTAAGTTTGGTGGGGAACTCCCACGTTAGAGGATCACAGCAAGTCAGTTTAGCCGTTGGCCTTGCGCACAGCACGTGGCTTGTACTGCACACGGAAGTATTTAAAAAAGGGAAAGACGGCTACGAGTGCACAGTCTGGGAAGCCTGGCGATGAGCAGGAAGCAGTTAGAGCTAATTCACTGATGCACCAATTGCATTTCATGAGGTTTATTCTTCCCGCTCTACTGTTTACAGTTGGCAATTTTCTGAATGGATAAAATTGAGACTTTGCTACTAGCATTTAAGCTATGGGTGAAACTGTCACAAAGAGCTAGGCAGTTCTGTAGCGTGTGAGGTCCCAGCCTGGGCAGTGACGAGGGCGTCCCACGGCCAGCCACCACAGGACGTGCTGCATGCGGCCAGCGAGCACCCCGACACTGTGGGCAGGCCGCCCCCGTGTACCACGCGAGGACGCCCCTGAAGCCAGTGCAGGACTCCCCAAGCGTCCCCCCACGTCTCTGCTCAGCACCACAGCCGCCCCTGGACTCCGTGCAGGAACGGAAGCTTCACGTCGCACATTTTCGGCACAACTTTAAGATTTTATGTGCAATCGGGGGCGAGACTGTTACTGGGACTGGGAACAGTAGGGCGGGGGCGAGACAACCGGCCACGCCCCGACTGACTCTCCACCGTGAACGTGGAAAGAGCAGGTGTAAACGTACCGAGCACCTCGACTCGCATCGGAAGCATAACTATCTTACTTTCCAACTAAGGAGTCAAGCCACCTGCCTACGCCCCACTTCCTCGGGGCCCAGTCCAGGCACCCGCACGTGGAAACCGACCACAGGCCTCACGTGGGCAGGCGTCAGCCAAGACCAGGTGCTTCTCCCTAAAGGTTCTGCATGAAATATGTCACAGACTTTAGGGGACAGGAAAACTCTTGTAATTAATTTTTTCTTTTAAACATTGTGCACAAGCTCCTATTAACATAGAAAGCATATATATTTCATAAATCACAGAAATATTAAAAAGTAGCACTCTGGTTTATCAGCTCATGTTACACACATATGTAGGCAAGAGAATGTATAAACCTACAGCAACAGAGAGGACATACCACTATCCGAAGAAACAAACCAAAACAACCAGGCTGTTGCAAAAAATTACTTAGTCCCTTTACACACATACCCATTTTCATTAATGCAAAAACAATGCAGTGGTTATCAAATGTCAGAAGAAATCGGTATTACGATTAAGACGGTCGATCTCTGAGAAAAACTCGTGAATGCTTGTGTTGACCTCGGAGTTAGTTTTCTTAAAGTGGCGGTGGAAGTTTCTCTTTAAATGTACGTTTTTGTTTTTGTTTTTTTTTAAACCGGCCAAACCTTCAAAAGAAGCTCAGCGCTGCGGGGTCAGCACACACACGAGCAGCGACTGAGGCCCAGACTGAGACGGAGGACCTCACTCCGCTCACGGCCCAGCATCTTCCCCGCAGGCTCGCACACGCGGGCCGACCCGGCAGCCACCGGCCCGAGGCCGCACACTGCCCCTCCTGTCACCAGGCCTAGTGACGGTGTCCCTCCCGGGGAGGGACTCTTCGCAGGAAGTGTGCGCTGAGGTCCGATGCAAGCTGGCCATCAGAACCAGGGCTGCTGGAGGCGGGGGCGTTTCTGAACGTGGGCAGCGCAGCCGTCTGGAACAGCGCGCCGCGGTAAGAGCGCGTCTCCGCCACCACGCCCCAGCGGCAGAGTGACCGAGGCCTCTGCAGACAGGATGTGGCAGGACAGAGAACGGAACACTGCCCTCCCGACACCCAGTCGTAGGGATACGGTAAAGCTTTCAGTTAAGGCCACGATTTTTCAGCTCTCATCTTTGAACCCTGTTTAGAAAGATTTCGCCTTTTTTAAAGGGCTAGCTCCCTAAAATACAGCTTAGCTTTTCAAACAAAACAAAACAAAACAAAAAAAAGACTTTGGGCCAGAGGATCCTATAATCTTTATGAAAACTGCGCACAGAAGTCCACAGCCACTTACCCTCGAGTGAGGCCAGCTTCCCGCTGCGGGCGCGCTCCCCGCAGGCACTACGCTGCCCCAGGGGGAGGGTTTTCCCAGGGTCCTTGTGCTGCAAGCAGAGTGGGGCCCGATGCCCATCGCAGGGGCCACGAGGCACACGGCCTGGTCCAAGGTGGGAGGCGTCCGGTGGCCCTGACCACAGTCTGACACGCCAACAACCACGCGGAATCCTTGGAACGGGACTGATCACAGCGGGTCCTTAATGGTTCAGTCTGTTGCCGCAGGAAGACGGGAGGGCCAGCCCTGCTCTGGGTGGGTGAGGCTGGCGCGCGGAGCGGCCCCCGGGAGGCGACCGGGGTGCGGCCGAGGGGCTCACTAAGAGACGCCCCCCAGAGTCAGCACATCAAAGCAAATGTTGCAAACTCGCACGGGCTTGTTCAGATCAAATTTTATAATAGGGATCTCCTTGGTCGAGCATTTATGGCACAGAAGGCGTCCGCA